GCACCACAGAGCACACAGCACTACAGAGCACACAGCACCACAGAGCATACACCACTACAGAACACACAGCACCACAGAACACACAGCACCACAGAACACGCAGTACCACAGCATACAACATCACAACACCACACAGCACCACTGAGCACAGAGCACACGACACTATTGCCTCTCCTATGTATGTAGGGAGCTTTGAGCAAAGGTTTGATTCTGAGCAGAACAGTTAACACATCAGGAATGAAACTGTTGTGTTGTGAAAGGCTTGGGTGTGGCTAGCATCTGTGAACTTGGATTATAGGAACTATTCCACTCTTTCCTGGTTTTCTGTGCCTTCACTATGGGGATTGCTGTCTCCTTGTAGGAATCTGGAATTCTGAGCTACCATACAGGCAGAGGGTACCTGGGAACATTTCCCAACCCCAAATAAAACCTGGGAACTATGTTTTTGATATATTTCCCAGAGAGAAACATTGTATCCATTGTATTTCATCATAGTTGCTGAAAGAGCAAAGCCAGTGTCTCCCCTGAGCAGGAGGTAGAGAGGCTGAGGAAGGCGGCTCTCTGATATTTTGTCCCTGGTGATCCAGTGGAGCGTTCTTACCATGTCAGGAAATCTCACTAAGGCACAAATATACTGTGATCATAAATCCTAGCTACTTATGAGTCTTTGGACATGGGATAGTTGTAGGGCTACTGACAAGGTATAGCATACAGCTTTGGAGGTGCTGCTATATCTAAGCTAATCTCAGAATGATTTTCTTTAGAACATAACCTGATAGGTCTTGAGGAGAAGCCATTTGTTCTTCACAAAGATTTACTGACTTAATTGCTTTTGGAGAAAAACTTGGTAGTGTTGATTAAGAGGAGAAATTAAAAAAAAAATTTATGGTAGAGGTTCTAAGGGTTATGCTGTCCTGGGACTGACTGGTGTGCTGTCCTGGGATTGATTGGTGTGTTGTCCTGGGACTGAGTGGTGTGCTGTCCTGGGACTTAGTGGTGTGCTGTCCTGGGACTGACTGTTATGCTGTCCTGGGACTGACTGGTGTGCTGTCCTGGGACTGACTGTTGTACTGTCCTGGGACTGATTGGTGTGTGGTCCTGGGACTGAGTGGTGTGCTGTCCTGGGACTGACGCCAGGTTGTGTTCTCCTGGCACTGATTCTGAGTTGTATTGCCCTGTGGTTTGTACCGTTGTCCTCTGTGTCCTCTGCTTCCCCTTCCCCTACCAGGGAGAATCTGATGGAGGCCAGTACGGTGGCTGGTGTTTCTTTTCACACAGTCACCATGCTGTGGCTCTGTGCTTTCCAGCTGCCCCTTCATTCCTGTTCCTTAGTGACTTCTGTGTTCTTTCTCCCTCTTCCACTCTTTCCCATCCCGGCTCTGCTCCTGCGCGTGTCACACGGGGCAGTGTTTCATGGCACTATTACTGCTATCTCTGCCCATTTTACAGACCGTGGGCTCTAATAATGGGTCAGGTTCAAGGTCTGAGGCAGGGTCCTCAGCCTTCCTGACGCTGTGACCCTTTAATAAACTTCCTCACGGTGTGCTGACCCCAACCTTAAGATTATTCCGTTGCTTCTTCATAACTGTAATTTGCTACTCTTGTGGATCTTACTGTACATGTCTGATATGCAGGGTATCTGATATTCGACCCTGTGAAAGGGTCATTTGACCCCAAAAGGGCTGTGACATATAGTTTGAGAACCTCTGATCTAAGCTGACAATTGAAGAATAAAATAAGAATTTTCATTCTATTTTATATAAAAAAATATATTACAGGGAAGCCTGTAAAATGAACTAATATATCTGGAGGCAAGAGTGGTTCCCTGGAGTTGCGCCATCTTCGTCTCCATACCCCTGAGCGTGCTAGGCTGTGTCATGAGGGGCAGCCAGGGTTAATGTTGCTGAGCAGATGATTTAATAAGGTTACCTGGAGTTTCCATGTAAGCCTAGTGAGCAGCCTTGGAAGTGGAAGAGACAGGAAAGCCAGGACATGTGGCCGTGTAGGCTGCAGGGATGTGATCGCTGGCTTTGAAGGAGAAAGGGACCAAGAACGTGGGCAGCCCCTGAGAGCTGGAAAAGGCAAGGCATGCGCTTGGGGATGCGTTTAGCTGAGCTTCTCCCCTAGGACTGCAGAAGGAACGCAGCCACACCAGTCCCTACAGTTCTTTTAAAATTGATATTAATCATTGTTGTAGCATGGTAGCCTGCTTTAGATTTCCGACCTGAGAACTATGCCGGGCGGTGGGGTCTCTTTAAACCACAAGGAAAGTTTGTTGCAGCAGCCATAGGAGACCAACCCGCATTCTTACCATCAGCCCCTTAAGATGGAAACTAAGTTTCTACTTACCACCTTAACTAGATATTTTTAACTTCACAGGTTATAAAGCACAGTGAAAAGTTTCAGAAGTACTACAAACAAAGCTGATAAATAATTATTTATGGTAGCTACTTCTACCAAATGACTGTTCTTAATTATGTTTGCTGTATTTCTTAGTTCTCTTCACGCTTATTTTTTTTACTTTTATTTTGTGTCTCTGAGTGATGCCAGAGGAGGGCGTTGGATGCCCTGGAGATTAGAGTTATGGTTGGTTATAATCTGCCATGAGCGTGCTGGGAACTGAACCCCAAGCCCCTGGAAGAGCAGTCAGGGATCACAGCCCAGGCACTGAGCTGCGTCTCCACCTCTCTCCAGGCCTGTTCCAAAACTGAGCTCTGCTTTGTGGTTTCCTGCTCTGGTTTACACTTAACAGAAATAGTTTTCTTTTTTTGTTTGTTTGTTTGTTTGGTTGGTTTTTTGAGACAGGGTTTCTCTGTGTAGCCCTGGCTGTCCTGGAACTCACTCTGTAGACCAGGCTAGCCTCGAACTCTCAAACTCAGAAATCCGCCTGCCTCTGCCTCCCAAGTGCTGGGATTTAAGGCGTGCACCACCACCGCCCGGCTCAGAAATAGTTTTCATGTTAGTTTTTAAAAACTTTGAAACGTGTTGTAAACGCTTTTTTTCCCCCTTATCTGCGTAACAGTAAAAATACAGTTGTGTGGTTGGTTCTCCAGCTGAGGCCTTGGAGGTCATTACCAAAGCTCTGTTCCAATGCCTGACTTCCTTAGGAGCATCCTTCCCAGCGGGCCTTTTAGTCACTTTGCATTACTAAGGGGATTCCTCCAGCTGTAATGGCACTGCCAGCTCAAGGGGTTAGAGACTTAAATAAACACGGGCGAGAGCTCCCAAGCGTGGAGGCTGTGGACTGGCAGCATCGTACCCTTGTCTGTGGGCACCGTGTGTAGAAGACCCCTTATACCTAGAAACTAGTGTGCTGGGACCTCACATAGGCTTTTTTTTTTTAATTTTTTTTTAAAGTTATAGAATATTGGAAAATAAAGTAGTAGCTGTGAGGAAACCCCTTATTTTATCCACCGTGTGCTCCATGTTCCCCAGGCCAGGCATCCGCTTTCCAGTGACTGCAGTTTCTCTCGTCTCCTGTGCTGACCTTTCCAGGTTTGACTGACGTGCTCTCTTCTGCTTCTGCATGTAAGGGCTGTCCTCTTAACTTTGTTAACATTTGTCTCCCTGTTAGGCTGTATCTTGGATGGCTAGGCCAAGTGTTACTCAGTTCTGCGCTACACAGTAAAGTACAGAATAGGATCTTGCAGATCAATGTTCACAGGAGTGCAGAGCTTGGGAGTGGGGTGGGGAGAGTAAAACTGCAAACTCCAGCCCTTGACTCCGCCTCTAGCCCTTCATAAAAAAAAGCCGCTTCGTGGCAGGATCCCAGACGTAGATACTCTTTCTAGATCCCACTGTTGGACGAGCATTCTCCTAAATTCTACTTCCACTAACCACCCCACCCCTGGCCTTGTTTCTTCTCGAATACACAATGAGAGGGTTTTTCTGGGTGACTCTCAAGTGTCTCCATGACAGTTCATCATTCTGGACCACCTAGCTAGGCTGGAAGCCACCATCCGGGTGCAGCATGCGACTGAGTTAAAATCCCGTGTCAGCCCGCTTGTAAGGTTGACAAATGCACTGCCCCCCACTCTGGTCCCGAGACTGTGTGCAGTTTGCTCTTTGAGGGCATATTTTTCTTCTTCATGTGTGTCCTCACCAACTTACTCCATTTGCAACGCTGACGGATGAAGCCTTCTTTGGCCTCCCACTTGTGGGTGTTCCTCTCGAGACTTGTCCCTGCAGCTCCTCCCTCTGTTCACGTTGACACTTCTATACACTGTCACATGACATTTAGTAGTATTCACCCACTAACTGGGGCAACGGTTTTGAGCACTTTGATTTCTTCCTGTCTGTCATTTGCGCGCCGGCGCGGGGGGCGGGGCGAGAATACTTAAGCTTCAAAGTCAGGAACTAGTTCTCCAGCTCTGTGGTGTCCTCTCAGGACTACATATAGTAGCTGCTGAAAAGCTATTGATGCATCTACCTGTGATCAGGTTACATCAAATCTTTGTTGCTGTTATACAAAGTTTCTGCCTCATCAGCAGCATTAGCAAGCGCTGCCATTTGAAGAATATCGAGCTCCTCAGAGCTACTGAAGGCAAACGACCTTTGATCTTAGTTCTTGAACGATTACGGTTCTACTCAGAGATGGAGGATCCATCCCAGTGAGTGTCATGGGAATTCAGGATAGACTTTATGAATGAGCTGAGGCTTCAGCTAGATTTCCGAGGTTAAGCTTTGAGTATTAAGGAGCTGGGAACTTTGTATCGAGCACACTCTGAGGGCTTCAGAAACAGTTACGAAATGGTCTGAGCTGGAAAAGGAAGACTGGGGTGTAGCTTCGCAATGGCCAGGCTTTTATATAAAGAAATGACTAAATCCACTCTACCGTCCCTGGGAGCCGTGGTATGTCAGGATAAGTAGCGCTGAAACAGAGGAAGACAGCAGCGACTGTGCTGTGGTTGGCTGGTCTGGGTTAAAGCGGTTCTGTTGGCCCTCATTCCAGCTGTAGCCTTCTCTCTGTTGGGCTGATTACCCGTGTTTCTCCTTCTTGATTGTGTACTGCGTGCTACTAATCATCTTTAATGGTTCGTTAGCTGCGATGATGGCTTTTGCTTTGTTAGTGATGAAGTCTGTCAGGGCTTCGTCAGCCCTCTTGAACATGGCTAATTGTACCATGTATTTTTTTATGGTACTCATATAAAATCCCAGTGCCTCCTCTGAGACTGATCTGAATCTTCATTCTCTAATTGGTTGCGCTGAGGCGTTTGCTGTGTTTAATATTTGGGAACGGGAAGGTATTCTTTCTTTTCTTCCTTTTCGTATTCAGAATTTCTAGTTGTCTGACATTATCTAACTGGATTAATAGCGGCCCCGAATTCTGTTAAGTGTATATTCTCTGCAACCTTGCACTGCATAGGCCAGTAAATTAGGAAAAAGATATGCAGACGTTTGACAAACCTCATTTTCAGAATACATTGTAAAAAAAAAAATTTTTTTTTTCTTTCATAGTGGTTGGGATTGGAAGAGGAACAAAAATGCTGACCAGCATGTTGTCGGGGTCCAAGGTAAGACTAGGAGAATGCATTTCTTTCTTCCATGTTTTTCTCAGTGACCATCTTGCTTTTCTATTGCTGTGACAAACCACCATGACCAAGGCAACTTACTGAGGAGTGTGACTGGATGAACCATCCCAGGTCAGATTCTGTGATGGTGGAGCAAAGACCCGGTGACAGGGGGTTGGGGCAGCAGCTGAGAGCTCACATCTCAAACCACACACAGGAGGCACGGAGCACACTGGGAATGGCAGTAGGCTTCCGAAACCTCAAGGCCCACCTCCAGTGGCAGACCTCTTCCAACAAGGCCACAATGCCTAATGGCTCCCAAATAGTTCCACCAACTGATGGCCAAGTACTCAAACAGATGGGGGCTATTTTCAGTAGTTATAAAGTGGAAACACCGAGGGTGGCTGGGAAGATAATTCAGATCTCAGGTGGTATGGACCTTGACCATGACCTCATTGAAGGGTGCAGACGAGTGGATCCAGGGGCTTGCTGGTCACCCAGTGTCATTAGGAAGCTGAGCTCCAGACTCTGTGACAGACCCAACAAAAAACAGATAATGAAGAGACATTCATGGAAGATAATCCAATGTCAATCTCTGTCTCCACACATGCAGATACCTCCACACACATCCCCACATACACCTTCACACACACACACACACACACACACACACACACACACACACCAAAGAAGACAGCAGGAACGAACCCTTTAAGATGATAAATGATGTTTGTCTATGGAAGTAACCCTGACTAAATCCAAGTGTACTTTTTAGGCACTTGGGAGGGGAGGAAGAGGATAAGGATGAGGAAGACGAGGAGGAGGAGGAGGAGGAAGAGGTTGGAAACCTCGAGCCACTTGGGGTGTTCAGCATAGTGGAAGGAATACTGTAGAGAAAGTCAGAATGTGAAAGTTGTCTACCTCCATAGGCTAACACCCCCATCCCACCCCTGCCATATACATAAACCCACACATACAGGCAAAAAAAAAAAAAAAGTGTTTAAAATGTACGTCATCGCTTTCAGGTAGATTAATACATTGTTCTTAAACATTGCTATGCAGAGTTTACAGTCTGTTTTTGACACAAATTTTTTGCCAGTGGCCTTGTTTCTTAACTACAAAATGTAAATGATGGCTGTTCAGTAGGGGGATTAGGATTATATTTATTTTATTTTTTACACTACTTGGTACTTTCTAAAAGTTTTACAATCAGCAAATCACTTTCATGTCCGTGACAAAGAGACATACTTACATTAATAATTTGTTCAAAGTTCCCCCCCTCAAGCTAAGATTGGTTGAGGTCGCTGAAATATTTGCTATTCATATATTCTCCACAAAATCATAAGCACGCACAGTGCTCCATGGGACTGAAAGAGTTCACTTGTAAATTCCAGGCATATTTTCAGAAAAATGACTGAAGATATAGACACATCTGGTTCAGGTTTTATTTGGTATAAACCGTTTTGGTGTTCACCTGGAAAAGCTGGGTGTTACTCGCAGAGAAATCAGGGATCCTCAGATGACTGTCACAGAGATAGAACATCCCCAGGTGGGTCTCGTCCCAGAAGCCTGGCTCTATCTTTCACGGACTGTCAGTCAGGCACTGGGGTGTGGCTTTCCTCACACTTTCCATTTTATGTCGATTATTTGTTAAGTGGATGAAGTCATCTGACTTGTGTTGAAGCGTATGTATATTTTGTTAGAAAATAACTATTAATAGATACTGTTCTGATAGACTGTATCTCTTACTTTGTTTGTTGCTGTGATAAAATACACAACAAAAGTAACTTAAGGGTTTCTTTTTGCTCACGGCTCCTGGGTTCAGTCCATTATGGTGGGGAAGGCATGGTGGTCGGAGCAGAGGCCCCGGCCATACTGTACGTGAGGAAGCAGGGGGTGACGTCGGATGCTTATGCACTGGTCTGGGACCTCAGCCCGTGGAACCATCCAGCCTGCTTTAGGGTGAATCTTCTGGGACCTCAGCTTGTAAAATGGTCCAGCCTACATTAGGTGAATCTTCTGGGACTTCAGCCCATGGGATGGTCCAGCCTACTTTAGGGCAGATCTTTCTACCTTATGTAACCCCGTTTCCACAATTCCTTACCAGTGGCTTCAAAGATTTGTTTCCATTGTGCTTCCAAATCTCATCAAGTTAACAATAGAGACTCATGTAGACCATAGTAAATTCACCTTATTGTGAGGATGTGTGTGTGTGTGTGTTTCAGTAAATAACTCCAATCCTACATATGGAGTACCTTTGTTTGAGGCAGGGTCTCATGTGACCAAGACTGGCCTTGAACTCTTGATTGTCCTGTCAGTACCCGTCAAGTGTGGGGCTTAGAGACATGTACCACCACGTGACTGTGACACATAGTCCCTGGTATACGTTTGATATTTTATTTCTAGTTCATTTTAAAAGATTTCAGTGACTGTAGCCCCCTAACTTGACCCAGACTTCATGATTGAGGTGATGTTCACTCTTTATCTACTTCTTAAATGTTCAGATGGATTCTTACCCATATCACACACTGCTTGAAACATTGTGCTTGTGTGTAGGGTTGTGTAGGGTGTAGTCATATACTTTCCCTCTAGGGCAGTAGGCGCTCAATTTATGTTAGACGTGTATTACTGTGTATGCTCCCCTTGTGAGCTAGGAGGCATTGCTGTTCCAACTGGCTGCATGTCATTTTGCAGTCAGGAAACATCATTAGAAGTCCTCTCTGCCTGGCACCCTTTCATACAGTCACTCTAGACCAACAGGCAGAGCGCTAGATTTCATTTTATTACTTTGTTTGCTTATTAGAGGCAGAGCCTCACTACCTAGCCCCAGCTGGCCTGGAACTCACTATATAGAGCAGGTTGTCCTGGAACTCACTATATAGACCAGGCTGGCCTGGAACTCACTATATAGACCAGGCTGGCCTGGAACTCACTGCTTCCTGAATGCTGGGATTAAAGGTTGTTGCTACCATGGAACTCTTAAAATAAAATCTTCAGGCCATCTACTATTGCTAATGTCTGTGAAGAAAGAGCCTGCTGGGATACCCAGCTCCTTCCCTCTCTTTTCGTCTTTAGTCTTTTTCATCAGCCCTGCACGCTTGCTTGGGTCCCTGCTGGGCTGTGCTATGATCCTCTTCTTCCAGTCTTGCATTTCTCACTGTCCTGTTGAAGCTGTGTGTATAACGTGTGCAAAATGAATTTTGATTCTCCTTAAGGTTCTCTAGTGCGTGTAAGTAGTCGTCACTGCTCCTGAGTGTTTTACAGTCGCCACGTCCTCCCTCTCTTGCATTCCAGGTCTGCTTGATTGCTCAGCTGCACGTTCTGTATACATCCGAAGTCAGTTTCATCCAAACAAATTCTGGTGGGAATCTTGAGTACAGTTAATTTTTCTTCTTTTTAAAAATTTCTGTAATCTTTCACATTGTAGAGAAAACAGCAGTCATCAGAAATAAAAAGCTTTTTTTTTTGTTTTTTTGTTTTTTTGTTTTTTGTTTTTTGTTTTTCGAGACAGGGTTTCTCTGTGTAGCCCTGGCTGTCCTGGAACTCACTCTGTAGACCAGGCTAGCCTCGAAATCAGAATTCTGCCTGCCTCTGCCTCCCAAGTGCTGGGATTAAAGGCGTGCGCCACCACTGCCTAGCCAGAAAAAGCTTTTCTTAAAAAAAAAGCAAAAAGCAAGAATGGGAAGGGGGAACGAGAAGTAGGAGAGGAGGAAGGAGGGGGAGACAGTTTCTTTTCTTTTTTTTTTTTTTTTTTTTTTTTTGGTTTTTCGAGACAGGTGTTTCTCTGTGGAGCCCTGGCTGTCCTGGAACTCACTCTGTAGACCAGGCTGGCCTCGAAGACAATTTCTTTAGACAGACATTTCACATAGTAAAGGGTTTGGGGTGGGGATAGGTGTGAGTCTTAGATAGTTTACAAGCCAGGCATGCTGGCACACGCTTTTAACTCCAGCATCCTATTCAGGAAGCAGAGGCAATAGGTATCAAGACCAGTCTGGTCCACATAGAAGTATCAGCTAGAGCTACACATCGAGACCCTGTTTCAGAAAGAAAAACAAAAACAAAAAAAGGCTTGGAATCCATGTAGAAATGAGACTGCATAAAATATAATGTAGACGAATTTATTCTGTGAGAGTGAGCTGATGTCTGGTGTGTAACGCGTGGTGTGAAGGGGATCCAGCGCCTCCCCACTCTCCCTAAATTAACTCTTTGAACCAGTTAATTCAGCAAAAGCTGGGTAGCACATGGACTTTGAAGTCTCAGTCTTTGATGAGGTTCTGGAGAACTGCCTTTACAAGCTTTCTAAATGATGATTAAAGTTGGCCACTTCATCATGTCTTAGAGACCAGATGAGCAAATGGAAGCGTTGACCTATGGTGAAAATTTGAATCTAATTAGTATTTCACAGATAAGAGGCTAACCCATATCTACAAGGAGACAGAGCACAGTGTGGTTTCTCAGGCAAAGCTGGCACGTCTCACAACAAGTCTCACTGGCTACAGCTGCCCACCCTGGCTGTGGTTAGAGGGCAGAGGTTTCTCCAAGAATGCTGGTGTTTTTGGGTTCAACAGTCATGGCATGCCAGTTAAATTTAGCCAGTTCTTCGCCAATCCATTGGTCTTCTTCAGGGGCCAATGCAGTTCGTTCCTTTTCTGTATCTTCTTAATTTTCAAATATGTAATTGCCGCCACCCCTCCCCCCTCGTGCAGTCTTGAATTGTGAACTTCCAAGTCAAGCTTGAGATGAAAGAGGGCAAGGTTTTCTGAGCCAGAAATCCCAAGTCCTAAGGAGCACACACTTCAGTGGAATTTTCTACAGGGTTTCATTGTATAAAAGTATGCAGTCATAACCCATGAACATAGCCGAATTCACAGGTCCCAGGTGCCATCCTGGAGAACAAATAACTCCAGAGCCCAGTTCTGTGTGCAGCATAGGCAAGTGAGAAGAAGCACTTCATACTCCACAGGAGGACACTCAGCTGTGTGTGCCCCATGTCCTGTTTCTTCTTTCCTATATATATCTTTTTGGTGGTGAGCCAGAGGCTTGCTTTGTCTGAGTGGCTTTTCCAAGTGGCTTATCGATAACTGGGCAGAACATAAGATTTATTCTCATTAGATGCCAGTGTAAGATAAAGAGAAAGCAGCCATCTTTTAGACAGTCTGCAAGGATTAGTCATGGACTCCTCAGAGTCTCCATGGAAATCACAACCATGTTAATAAATTTGCCTTTTTTTCCCCCTTTGCAATCTCAGAACACAAAACCACACAAACCAGAATTTCTACCTGATGTGCACTGTGATGGCTAAGGTAGTGAATAAATGCAGGCAATATCAAAACATACACTACATATATATTTGAGATTTTATCAACAGGACTGGAGCAATCAATGGCTCAGTGATCGAGAACATTTGTTCTTCCTGTAGAGGACCTGGGTTCTGTTCCCAGCACCCACACTGTGGCTCCCACCCATCTGTAACTCCAGGTCCGGGGATCTGAGCCCTTCCCTGACTTCTGCTGGCACCAGCACTCATGTGGTGCACATACATACGTGCATACAAAACACTCGTGCACATAAAATACAAATAAATAATTCTTTTTTTTTTTTTTTTTTTTTCTTTTTGGTTTTTCGAGATAGGATTTCTCTGTGGTGTAGCCCTGGCTGTCCTGGAACTCACTCTGTAGACCAGGCTGGCCTCGAACTCAGAAATCCGCCTGCCTCTGCCTCCCAAGTGCTGGGATTAAAGGCGTGCGCCACCACCGCCCGGCCTAATAAATAATTCTTAATTTTAAAAATTAAGGTGTCTCAGTTAGGGGTTTACTGCTGTGAACAGACACCATGACCAAGGCAACTTTTATAAGGACAACGTTTAATTAGGGCTGGCTTACAGGTTCAGAGGTTCAGTCCGTTATCATCAAGGTGGGAACATGGCAGCATCCAGGCAGGCATGGTGCAGGAGGAGCTGAGAGTTCCTCATCTTTATCTGAAGGCTGCTAGGAGAAAATTGGCTTCCAGGCAGCTAGGGCGAGGATCTTATAGCTCACACCACAGTGACCAATAAGGTCACACCTACTCCAACAAGGCCACACCTCCAAGTAGTGTCACTCCCTGTGCTAAGCATCTCAAACCCCCACACTAAGGCTTTTAAGTGCGTCTTAAGTACATGCAGGGGTTCTGAAACCAAAATGTTTGAGAACTGTTGGTGTAGGTATCATGTCCTCTAAAAAGAACTCACATGTTGCAGGACAGAAGGAAGACCCAGGAGTTCTTTGAGAGTTGGCATGGATAGCCTAAATATCTAATGTTATGACAGAAGTGTGAAGAATTGCACACTCTTCAAGCCTGTGTGTAAGTCTACCAACTTTGTGTCTAGCTGATACCGTTTCTGTCTGGTAGGGAAACAGCAGAACAACGGTGTGAAATCCTGCTAACTGTTTATAATTTGGGAAAGTTCGAATCAGGTCGTGAAACACGGGAAACAGCGGGTGTGAGCAGGCAGTCGTGTGCCGAGCAGCACGGTGCGAAAGCCCAGGAAGGTGAACCACCGAGAGTGCCCCTTTCCCTCGGTATAGTCTCTAATGTCTTCCCTTCACGGTAACTTCCTAGAGGTGTAGAGTCCCTGTGACCTGTTTAGTTTGTGTTTGGGAATTTCACACACACTGAGGACAGTATCTTGTCCTTCCACAGTTCTTAGGAAGTACAGCGGCATCTGGATTTGAGGCAGCCCTCCACTTGCGTATGTCTCACAGACCGCCTGCTTTGTCCATCCTCCGGGGCAGGGGAGATGAATGGGGCAACTTTGAAAAATGAAAGGCTTTGATGTTTAGTGAAGAGAAGAAAATGGGGCTCGTTCTCTTGGCTTGTTCCAAGGACATCCAGAATCCGGAGACCAAAATGGATGCCGGACACATGGCAAGCATAAGGTGCCGAGTTCAGACATGTTGTATAACAGCCTACAGCAGATGCATTCAAAGACACTGTATCTAACACTTTATCATGATTTCCTTATAAATATAGACAGTGGATTACCCCTCACCCCCACTCCTACTTCCAGTTTGTGCTGGTCTGCATGCATACAGAAGCCAGAGGCCAACCTCGGGTGCCTTTCCTCAAGAGCCAGTGGCCTTGGTTTTTGAGACAAGGTCTCTTATTAGGAGAGCTTGCTGACTAGGTTAGCCTGGCTGGCCAGTGAACCCTGGGGATCCACTTGTCTCTCTGTCTTCCAAGCACTGATTTTACAAACACACACCTCTATGCCTGGCTTTTTATGCGTGTTCTGGGTTCTCCTGGTGTAGCAAGCGCTGAGCCATCTCCCTAGCCTGCCTCTGTGTCACCTGTGAGAACTCACTGTAGTTACACGAGTCACTCTGACACCGCTAACTGGGAATCGTTCTGTGTTTTTGTGCTGTAGTGACTGTTATCCGTTGCTTACCGGGGACAGAAACTGTTGTTTTAGATTCTCCGCTGCTTCTCACGAGGCACACAGCATTTTTCTTACTTTAAGATTAGCCAGTTCTGGTGCAGCTACATTGTGCTTAAGCGCTTTACCGTCTGTGAGAGAGCTGTAACTGCCTCCCACGAGTCTGCATCTGAGTCTCTGCTCCTGCCTCTTATCCTTCTGCGCCCTCCCCAGGGATGCTGACTCAAGCTTGCCTGCTCTTAGCTGAAGGGGAAAGCCTCGTGACCCGGGTGACGGGACTGAGTGTGGAGTTAAGAGGAACTAACTTTTGCAGTCCTAATGAAACTTTCAAAAAACTGTGACTCAAAAATACCAGGAAATTTCCTCCTGCATTTCATTCGAGCTATGAAATCCAATGGGATCGGAAGGTGGCTTCATCAGAGGCCGTTTGCTGTCACGCCTCTGCGTATTGGTGGTCATCACAATTTTAATTTTCTTTTTCTCTTTTTAGTTCTTTTACTACCACAAGTTTATCATTAATAAGTTTGCATGTCTATAAAATACTTTGAGGCTCTGTCCGCAGACAGGGTCTCATTAGTGTAGCCTACCTGGAACTCTGTATGTAGCCCTGGATGGCCCAACTCACAGCCTTCTGACTGACACAGCGTCCCAGGCGCTGGGATTAAAGGGTGCAGCACACCTTCCAGGAGCGTCACTGTAAGAGCCACACAGGTACAGATCCTTTTCTCCAAGAAACAATAGCACTTCCCGTCAAAGGCTCAACAAACTCAGGATTAGTCCAGTAAGAGTGGAAAGATCGAATCCTGCAGGTGTGGCTTAAATGAAGGCGTCGCCAGTCCTCAGCCTCAGCCAAGGCGGCTTAGTCCTACAGAGGCTGACCTCCTCTATGGAGCATGGTCCATTCTAATGCCAGTCTCCTTTCAGAGACCTTTAGTATCCGTCCTCTTACTGTGAAGACACACGGCTGGGTAAGGGTGCTTCTGCTATACCTGGAGATCCAGCCTCGTGTTCCCCATAGGTTTCCAATAACTCTTCCCTATGTGAGCCATGAGGTCACTAAGAGAGCTTTAGTGTTTCATGGAGAAGTGGCAGATCATTCTACTTGAAGTCACTTTCATTGCATGTCACTGGTTCTTGGGATGCCGGATTGAGATTGGTTCTTGGGATGCTGGGTTGGGATTGGTTCTTAGGATGTCCGGTTGTAGTCTGTCATGGCATTCTTTCCAGGTGGGCGCATAATGTTCCCGCTCTCTGCAGAGTCTTGGTTCCAGGGCCGCTGTGGGTAGCGTCCATGGCTCCTCACACCCTGTGAAAACATGATGTGATGTACCCAGCTCTGCCCTTCCCCTCGTATGCTAACTGTCCCGAGACTTGTAGCACAGGGCACCTCCTACAAAGGAAACGCTGCATAAGCAGTTTTTAAACTGGGTTATTTAGGGGATAACGACAAGTCTGTACATCATTAGCACAGATCCTTTTTATTTTTAGAATATTTCGGATCTGTGGTTGATTGAATGTGTGTATGTGGAACTCGATGCAGAGAACCAACTGTGTTTGCAGTTTCCTTAAAAACCAGAGCGCCCAGGATAAAATGGTTTTGGGAATTTGCAATAAAAGTATACATATAAGCCGTAAAACCAGCTTAAGGGGTTTACTTTTCTTTCTCTGGTCGGCTGCTGTGGGGTGTTTTTGATGTTTCTGTGCTCACAGATGTTTCACACATAACAGAAACAACACAATGGTCTCAGTGCAGTGTTCCTGCCTTCACTTTGTTCCAGGTTGACAGTGTTCATAAAATTCTCTCCATCAGGAGAGATGCCTGAGAGTCCTGTGTCACTCAGGGCCACCTTTGTCATTTCCTTTCCTAGAGGTATATCGCCATCGGAGAACTGGGGAAAGCTACGGATACGCTGGATTCTACTGGGAAGGTAACAGACGAGAAGCCGTATGGTAAGAAGCCTCTGACACTATGCTCCTCCGCAGTTAAAGTTCCTGTGATAGCAAAATGCAGAACTCAAGTAGCATGCGGTGGCATCCGTTGGTAATCCCAGCACTTGGGAGACTGAGGTAGGAGGATTGCAAGTTCCAGCCTAGCCTGGCCACACAAGTGAGGCCCCGTCCCCAAAAGAAAAGTCCCAGCGGAGTTAAAGCAAACCTGTGACTTGATGCTATCAGGTCTCTGTACATTCTCCAGCTCTTAGCAAACCGGACATGCTCATCACACTGCATCGTGTTTGCTGTGAGTTTAACAGAGACCTTGTAAGTTCTTTCCCCCGCAGAGTGTTTGCAATGTGCAGAATTACTTGTATCTATAGCTGGGATTTAGGCTGGTTTTCCCCATGAGTGAATGACAAGACACAGTTACTGTCACGTTGGATTTGACCTGTGTTGTGCCTCTATTTTTTTTTTTTTAAGTGACTTTCCAGCTGTTGAAGTAAATGTGCCTGAGTCAGTCATCACGTGCCTGTGTTTTGGAATGAAAAGATCCTACAGGGGAGAACTAATTCTCCGAAGTGGAGGGAACTCCCCAGGGCCCACCTTAATTTGTCTGCTATTCTTTTTACTACTCTCAGAAAGGGTAGATAAACGAACCGGTCTCCTAGCAACCCACACAGCACCGGAGCTATTTATAATGCGGCACTTGCCTTGTTGCCAGAGAGTTCACCTGCGTGGCTGTGTCACCGATTGCGAATTATTCGTCGGCATTCTGGTTTTCCCCCATGTCTGACATCAGCTCTTCTCGGTTTGGCTGCAGACAGTGTGGTGTCTGCTTCCCTGTGCTTGTGTGTTGATTGCCCTTACGACCTATTCCACATTACGCCAGTAGAGAGACCGGGCTTCTCTGGCTGACACCCCAGTGGCACTTTGGTATCTCATTCGGTTAGTCAAGCAATATAATGAAAATTAAAACCTCTCATTTATTTCCACACTTCAGACGTTGAATTATCCTTGACATTAGTATTAGAATTAACAAATGCTAGCAGACCCTCATCCAGCTCAAGTCCAGCTATAACTTCCATCCAGTGGGGTTTGAGGGGAAAGACGCGAGGCACATGACAAGAAGTGACAGAGACTTTCGGAGTTTGCCAGGGGTGCGTTGGTGACAGTCAGTGACACATAGACACGTAAGCCTCCCATGTCCTCATCCTCATTTGGCAGGCATAATGGGAAAGGGGGCTTTGGAGGAGGGCAGCCTGAGGAGGAGGCACAGCCTGAGGAGGATTTAACATCCGTCCACCCTGCCCTAACCGGGGCTGTGAGCATTTCCTACCTCTTTATCTGCTGGCTCCAAAATAGGAATGCTTTAGCTTCCTGCCGTACTAAAAGGTGACTGGGCGCCTCACAGACACACCGTGATCAGTAGGCTGGCCTAGTAGTTGAGGCAGAACTGATAGTGTTTGAACTAGAGCCAGCCTTGTAGCCGAGCCAGAGACATTTGTAGTTAGAATTGAGCCTGGTAAGTACAAGGCACTCCCTAATTATTGATGAATTGAGGGGACAGTAAGGAGGTGGTCAGCTGTGACCCAGGCTTGAGGTTATAAAGCTGGCTAGGGAATGCTGCTACCCAGAGGGATACTTTCTTCCCAGCCTTAAGCTCGTTGGAGTCATAAGAAATTCTGCACAGCATTTGTTGATTTGTACCTTTGTTTATGCTCAGGGTTAGAGAGAGACTTGGTGGGTGAAGTGATTTGCTGCTCAAGTGTGAACCCCTGAGTTCCAATCCCCAGGACCCATGTAGGTCAGCACCTGAACTCTAATCTCAAAATCCAGAGTTCTTATGGGGAGATGGAAACGGAGACAGGAGAATCTCCAGAAATTACGGGCCTGCTAATTTGACAGATGGAGCAGCAAGCATGATGGCAGGCAAGGACTCGAGGTTGTCTTCTGACCCCTACATGTTTGCCCCTGCTACCTGGGCATGGGTGGGCACCCACACACTCAGGCACATGCATGCATTCTCAAACACACACTTACACATGCACATGCTCTCACACACACACACGCACACACACACATACATACACAGAGACACTCACATGTACACACACACACACACAGACACTCATATGTACACATACACACACACATACACACACACACACATTTTTTAAAAGTGAAAGAAAGCCCATTGTGTCAATGTGATGACTCCTAAAGTCGGGGAGTAGCTCTCGTCGGACGCCCAGAGAGACACATCCGTCACACCGTTTACCGAGCAGTATTTGAGGTTGGAGAATGACAGCTCCAGACGTTCTTAGCAGATTGGCAGGATTTTTCCATTTCCTTCAGTAAATCATCAAATATTTGCTATCTGAAGCCACAGTGGTGAAGCCGCCAAGGACAAGAAAAGGGGGTTTAAAGTCTAGCTTCTGCCTTAAGGGGGAATTGTTTCTAGTCCTCTGAGGCAAGTGCTTCATACGCCTTTATAGTATTATCCTGAGATAAAATCAGAAGCCCGGACCTGTCTGCAGACACATATGTCTAAAATCAACAGAGTGCAGCCCATAGACTATAAAGAAGGAATAATTTGCAGTCAGTAACTGATAAGCAAATGCAGACGCTAGGACACTAGGCTCCAGGAAGTAGCAGCTACGAACCACCAACTGCACAGTGACAGGCGTCCTGTCAGTGACTCAGTACATGTAATATAGTACTGAGACAAAAGTGATTCGTTTTGAGATGTATGGCGACGTTCTAGCAGTCTCTGTATGCTGGAGTCCTTGTACTTACTTGTATTTAAGAGCTTTGTTGTTAGCTGTTATAGAGTGGGCAACAGATAAGTTCATAGTTCATCCCTGCCCCACAGGAGCCACGGCCCCTCCTTTTCCCAAGGTAGACTCTAACTTCCGCACTGTGGTGAGAAGCCTTACACAGTCTGTGTGTCCTTCTGTGTTTGGATTCTCCCATGTGTACATGTGAGATTTATCTACGGTGTTACATGTCACCATATCTTGAAGTTTTTTTTTTTATTGCTATGCTTGACATGTATATACCACTTCACAGACACATGTAACATACACAACACATTCTCTTTTAAAAGAAGACTCACATACTTGTTTGATGTGTGTATGTGAGTTCCTGTGTGGGCATGTGTGCGCGTGCACATGCCTACACTCCACGTATGGGCCTTTGATCCCTTGGGATGGAGTTAGAGGCAGTTGTGAGCCGCCTCGTGAGTTCTGAGAAGCAAACCCAGGTCCTCTGCAACAGCAGCCAGATGCTCTTAACCGCCGAGCATCTCTCCTGCTTGCACATGTTCGTCTGGTTTTGCTGGGTGTTGGATGCGGGACCTCATGCATGGTGGCAGGCGCTGTACATCACTGAGCATTGCACCTCAGACTCTTCTCTTAATAGACACGTGGGTTGTTCTCAGCTTGGAATTTCACAGAACAAAACTACACTTTGTGCTCGTTTCTCTTGTGTTTAGACTCAGCTGCTAGGTTCCAGGGTGCTCGAGTGTTTAACTGCACTGAAAATGGTTAAATGGTTTTCCAAAGTGTTTCCGCCACACTGTGCAAGTTCCATGTGGCCCATACCCTTCACAGCATGTCATGTCAACAGTGTGATTAACTTCATGCATTCCAGCAAATGGGCAACAGTCAGCTGACTCTGTGGTGGCTTTTGGCAGGGGTGGGGCAGGACAGTGCCTTAGCCATCTGTACCTACCAGCGTGGGTGTGTCACCCGCTTCCTTCTCTGGTTAGTTGTCTCCCTGATGTGTTTGAGTAAAGAGCTCACATCCACCTGCATGTACGCACATGCACAGGCACACACGCTCACACACACACACATTTTTTAAACAAGAAAATTTTTTTCTGTGTTCTAGAAATCTTTGCTGCTTTGCCTCTAACATTACATGCCCAGTCCATCAGTTTCCTTTGAGGATATGCAGTAGGCCTCGCTCTTTCTCCAGGATTCTGCATGTCACAAATCAAGCACCTCAGCAGGTGTGGGTTTGTCTGAAGTCTGCATTGCCAGCTCAGCAAGCTGGTCCTTCCCTGTCTCAGCACCAGAGGATCTGCTATCTTAGAGGACAAATAGATCTGCCCACCTTGTTGATCACAGACCTCTCCCCACCCCTTTAAAAATAACTATTTTATTGAAAGAACTTACTTTTTTTCTTTTGCTGAAATTCGATATGTACCTTTAAATCATGAACAGGAAGTGAGTTTGCGGAGGGATGTGCAGGTGACCGTGGCTGCCCTGGGTTCATGAGTGGGATAGCCATGCCGTGTCTGTGACAGCGTTAACAAGCTTTTTCTTTGAATTGTTTTGTTTTCTCCATATTCAAATGTTAAACTAACTGCACATTTCTGGAGGTGATTCAGCATGGTCAGCGTGTACTACATATTGTACTTCACAGGTGAAGATTCTGGGGGTTTGCACCCGGATTTATGAGTGTGGGTTTGTATTTGTTTTTTCTCCTCTGGCCCCCAACTTTACTCTCTCAGAGTTCTGACTGGGCCCAAGAATTATGGTTGCTGTGAGAATTTTTTTTTTTTTAAGATTTATTTTATGTATATGAGTACACTGTCACTGTCTTCAGACACACCAGAAGAGGGCATCAGATCCCATTACAGATGGTTGTGAGCCACCATGTGGTTGCTGGGAATTGAACTCAGGACCTCTAGAAGAGCAGCCAGTGCTCTTAACCATTGATGTTACTGTTTTTAAGCCTGGCATTGTCTTTGTGGTGCTGGAGTATAAACCCAGAGCTTCACGGTGGCCTTGCCTCTGAGCTGTGCCCTTGACCCTGTTTTTCTTGGCTTTTAACAGCTTTTCTGTTTTCTGGAAGAACTCGTATCCAGTTGAAATTACCTCTTTTTCTACTTTTTGCTACTGCCTTCTAGTGACAGCAGATGTGCTTTTATAAGGAAAGTTTCAGATTACGAACTTTGTTTTAAAATCGCTGTCTGCTGTGCTGTTCAGTGCTTCGTGTTTCTCCCCACAGTC